CCTAAAACAAATAGTAGTAATATTAATAATATTAATAATAATAATAAGAATAATAATACCCGTGTTGGAAACTATAACTGTGTAATATTTGTGTGGAAAATCATTCATGAAATAAAAAATATACAATAGAGATAATAATAATAATAATAGTTGCCAGTGCTGGAAACAATAACTGCGTAATATTTGTGTGGAAAATCGTTCTTGAAATAAAAAATATACAAAAAAATAATGATAATATCGCAGCAAATAACTGTGTAATATTGGTGTGGAAAATCGTTCATGAGATAAAAAATATACAAAAGAAATAATAATGATAATAATAATAATAATAATAATAATAGTAATTACTAGTGCTGGAAACAATAACTGTGTAATATTTGTGTGGAAAATAATACATGAAATAAAAAATATACAATAGAGATAATAATAATAATAATAATAATAATAATAGTTGCCATTGCTGGAAACAATAACTGCGTAATATTTGTGTGGAAAATCGTTCATGAAATAAAAAATATACAAAAGAAATAATGATAATAACGCAGCCAATAACTGTGCAATATTTGTGTGGAAAATCGTTCATGAGATAAAAAATATACAAAAGAAATAATCATGATAATAATAATAATTATTATTATTATTACTAGTGCTGGAAACAATAACTGTGTAATATTTGTGTGGAAAATCGTTTATGAAATAAAAAATATACAAAAGAGATAATAATAATAATAGTAATAATAATAATTCAATCATTTATTCATTTTCTTTTTCACAGCTAAATGAACCACCAACTTATCCAGCACGTTTTTATGCAGCAGATGCCCTTCCAGCCGCAACCCATCTCTGTGAAACATCCACACACACACACACACACACACACACACACACACACACACACACACACACACACACACACACACACACACACACACACACACACACACACAAAAGGGACTATTTAGCCTACCCAATTCACCTGTACCGCATGTCTTTGGACTCTGGGGGTAACCGGAGCACCTGGAGGAAACCCACGCGAATGCAGAGAGAACATGCAAACTCCACACAGAAACGCTAACTGAGCCAAGGTTCGAACCAGCGACCTTCTTGCTGTGAGACGACTACCTACTGCGCCACTGCATCACCCAATAATAATAATGATAATAATAATTATTAGTGTTGGAAACAATAACTGCTTCATATTTTTGTGGAAAATCATTCATTAAATAAAAAAATATACGAAGGCGATAATAATATTTACAACAACAACAAAATTAATAATAATAGTAATAATAATAATAATCATCATCATCAACATTGTCATCTTCATCAACATTATTACCAGTGTTGGAAACAGTTACTGCGTAATATTTTTTCTAAAAAATAATTTTATGAAATAAAAAATTTTTTATAAAACAACAATAATTTCAGAATATAGTTTAAATGTATCACTATATGATGTTTTTATGATATATCAAACAAGAACTGAATAGCTTCACTTTTAAAGGAACCTTGCTAAATGAAAGTGCTAATAAATTTCAGAAAAGAAAAATCCCTGTTACTGACCCCAAAACCTTTTAACACCAACGTACGTCATTGCATTTGTTTTCCACACAGAAGTAGGAGAGGGAAAAATACATCAATATTGTTATACCATGTATTTATGTGTGGTAGTAGGACATTTGACGTAATTATATTGACTTGTCAGTATATGAGTTCAGTAGTTTTAATGTGCATATACTCTGTAAAACATAAGTGTTCGAGGTCTCCCTGTTAAATGCGTACAAGAATAATTTGTATGTGTTTCTGAGAGTTTCTAAATCAACATTTACTTTAGACGCCAGGATCAGGAGATTATATGAAGACTATAATCTATCCACCCTTTTCTGGCACTCTAAATCAAGTTCATTCTCCAGTCGGGCCGTCTTCCAAGGAGGTTTTAGAAAGGAATAATTTGAGGATCCGACTAATAAACCTCTTCAGTATGTAAGACTAAAAGGTCTTTACAACGATAACGTCATTCTACAGCGGTCACAATATAAATATGCTGCCGATAGGACATGTGAATGTTAATACGCAATCAGTTGATAATATTAAAACAAACATGTCATGACTAGAGCTCTTATCGTTTAGGCTGAAGTCTGTTTTGACTTTGTTCCTGTGTGATCTGAGGCCCCATCCACGGTATACATCACAATAAGCTAATTAGCAATATAATTAGCATTGTAATTACCGGCTGCAATAATTACTTTTATTTATTATGTTTTTGGTGTATTTATCTGCTCTAAAAAAAAAGGAAAAAAGAAATGGTCTGGATATTAGTCTGTTCTTTAATTTGGAATTTCAAATCTTTAATTGGGTTGTTTTGGACCTTATCTAAAACAAAAAGCGCATTAAAATTTATCAGTATTTTAGCATAAATAAAAATAGCTTGTGTTAGTTGAGCTGTTTTGGTCTTTATCTAAAATAAAAAGTGTATTCAAATTGATCAGCATTTTAGGATAAATAAAAATAGCTTGTGTTACTTGGGTTGTTTTGGTCCTTATCTAAAACAAAAAGCGTATAAAATTTGATCAATATTTTAGCATAAATAAAAATAGCTTGCGTCACTTGGGTTGTTTTGGTCTTTATCTAAACAAAAAGCGCATTAAAATTGATCAGCATTTTAGCATAAATAAAAATAGCTTGTGTTACTTGGGTTGTTTTGGTCTTTATTAAAAACAAAAAGCATAATAAAATTGATCAGTGTTTTACACTGTAAAATAACAGAGGTTGAATTACAGAAATTTACCAGAAATTTAAATTTAAGGAAATAAATTGAATGTCCGTTATGTTACGGTAAATTTCTGTAATTTAACAGCTGTTATTTTACTTTTTTTTTTTTTTTTGCACACAATAAACCGTCAAATTACAAAAAAAAAAATGTTTTACAGTGTAGGAGTAAAATAAAAATAGCTTGTGTTACTTGGGTTGTATTGGTCTAAAACAGGGGTCACCAAACTTGTTCCTGGAGGGCCTGTGTCCTACAGATTTTAGATCCAACCCTAATCAAACACACCTGAACAAGCTAATCAAGGCCTTACTAGGTATACTTGAAACATCCAGGCAGGTGTGTTAAGGCAAGTTGGAGCTAAACCCTGCATGGACACCGGCCCTCCAGGACCGAGATTGGTGACTCCTGGTCTAAAACAAAAAGCGTATTAAATTGATCAATATTTTAGGATAAATTAAAATAGCTGTAACACTATAATAACTATACACTATGAATCATTTGTTAAGCATTAACAAATAGTTAGTTCATTATCTGTTAAGTATTAACTCTACATTACTAGACGTTAGTAAGCCGTTTATAAATACAAATACAATTGCTATTAATGAATGTATTTTCATACTTTGTCCATGATTATTTTTTTATTACTTAATTAAAGATTGTATTATTTACAAACTAGTTATTTAAGCATAGTTGGTGCTGTTTTTAAGATTATTCCGAATGCATAAGTAAATAATTAATAAACTTCAAATTAACATTTCTATGTCTTATTATTCAAGCATATGCTAATAGTTAATTCTTATGTTAATAAATACTTTATAAAGATAATGAACTAACTAGTTGCTAATGCTAAATAGATGATTCATAGTGTGTAGTTCAGGGGTCACCAACATCGTGCCCGGATCACATGTGTTGCCCGCAGGCCTATTCTAAAAATAGTTCACCATAGCGCCACTTACCAGTAAGCTCCATCTAATATAAAAGTAATCATTTACAAATGTTAATATTTGCAGAGATATATAAAAATAAAGTGTTGCACATTGATACATTAAATACAGGGTATTTCCTACCCTGTTAAATCATTGTTGAATTTTGTTATTTGAGAAATGTTTATCAAACCGGTAGCCCTCCACATTGATCGGTAATCAAGAAGTAGCTCTCATTTTCATAAAGGTTGGTGACCCCTGGTGTAGTTATTATAAAGTGTATAGCTTGTGTTACTTTGGTTGTTTTGGTCCTTATCTACAACAAAAAGCGTATTAAGATTGACCAGTATTTTCAGGATAAATAAAAATAGCTTGTGTTACTTGGGTTGTTTTGGTCTTTGTCTAAACAAAAAGTGTATTCAAATTGATCAATATTTTAGGATAAATAAAAATAGCTTGTGTTACTTGGGTTGTTTTGGTCTTTATCTAAACAAAAAGTGTATTCAAATTGATCAATATTTTAGGATAAATAAAAATAGCTTGTGTTACTTGGGTTGTTTTGGTCTTTATCTAAAACAAAAAAGCGTTTTAAAATTGATCAGTATTTTAGGATAAATAAAAATAGCTTGTGTTATTTGGGTTGTTTTGGTCTTTATCTAAAACAAAAAGCGTTTTAAAATTGATCAGTATTTTAGGATAAATAATAATAGCTTGCGTTATTTGGTTTACATTGATATGCAACTGAAACGATACAGACTAAATTTGAGAAAAAAAGCAAAGCTGTTTAACATACGAGATGCTGAAGTAAATCTATTTAGCTTCTTTTTATCACTCACTCTGGTGAAATCTGTTTTTCAGAGACTGCACGCACTCCCCTTGTGTTTTACCCACAAACCCTTGTTTCTCTTGAAAGGATAGCATGCATAAATACACAATCTAATAAGAGCCCAAGATGGATGATAATGCCTTTTTATTAACTTACGGAGTGGTTTGTTTGGGCAAATTGAAAGTCGTATTTTTCTCTTTAAATATCTAATTGGAGTTTTGACAGCTTTTACAATGAAATGAAAGTAGTTATTGTGCTGCGGAAACAGCGGTGTTTATAAAATTCTGCTCGCGATACAAGGCGCTGACAGTGCTGGTATAAAAACATGCATTAAAAACTGTCACACCAACTGAATGTTGATTTGTCTAAGTGGCGAAGGGGGAGGCGCTCTTTAAAAGTTCATCAAAATCTTTGTTTGCGTTTCTGGTTTATGGTATGGTGGTAAAATATGTACCCATAACTGTTCTCTGTGTCCTTACAGGCATCAACAGAGAGCTGTGTAAGAAGGCAAATGTGAATGTGCAAGCAGACAGTGGCACACGGGACACAGAGCAAGACTGGAGCGCTCAATATTCTTTGAAGGTCAGTGTCACAATGTACCGTAATACATCTGCAGTTTTAATGAGTATTTTAGCAGCCAGATACCAAATAAACAGTCATATCAGTCAGCATAAAGCTTGTTTTCTGTTCCCCTTTCTGTCACATTTTCAAGTGTACTCTTAAGGATTTTTGTAAAGTTACAAAAGTTGTAAAATACAGTTTTCAGACCCCCTAGTTTTTCAAAAAAAAAAAAAAATAATAATAATAATAATAATAAATTGCAATAAAAATGACAAAAATTTGCAGACAATTTTGCAAAAAAAAAAAAAAAAAAAAAAAAAAAAATATATATATATATATATATATATATAAATTAGGTAGCCTACTATGTTAGGTTTTTTGTTGTTTACAAAATGTTCTTTATTTTGGTCTCTTGTAAAGACCAGATCTGAAATGGTTGGGATTAAGCCAAAGAAAGGTTTTATTACTCTTATTGTTGTCCACGATCTTATTTACTTTATTTTTATTTAGATTTCACTCCCTGGAGCATCTAACATCACATCGTCACACATAGGGCATGTGTTAGGGCTTTCCCCTACTGTAATACACCTAACACACAAATTTCTTTAAAACTCATGCAAGTTTACTCCTGCACTGAAAGAGTATAATTACGAATTTTGTAGGATCGCAAAAAATTTCAACAAAAAACTAGAGGCTCTGAGTATTTAACTGTAACATGAACTGTACTTTACTGTAATACAGTTATGCAGTATGTTAATCTATTTTATAGTTGCATTGTGAAAATTACTGTATATTTTACAGGAAATACTGTAAAAACATATAGAGCAAGATAAATGGGGTTGTAAATGTAAATACAGTATTTTTGCTGTAATTGATTTAAAGTTAGTTATTGGTGAACTACTGCCAGTAAGTTGCTGTAGGTTCAACAGGAAATTTGTGTAAGTAGTTTTTAAGCGCTAATATAGATTTGTGCCTATTAGTTTATTTATGCAAATTTTGAAATATCACATGGGAAACAAGTGATGAAAATGATTTTTAAAACTATTCATTTAATTTGCCAAAACATTTTACGCTTTCTTGAGGTGGTTATTTATTGTGTGATTGTTATTGTGGTTTTTATTTCTTGTGTGAAAAATGGATAAATCAAAATTTACAATGTTTATTTTGCTGGTGCACGTTTTTTTTTTTCTTTTTTTTTTTTTTTGTTTAGGTGAACAATTCATTTGTGCAAGGTAATACACTGGTGAAAGAACATTTATTTAAGTCATCTTTAATCTGTAGCCACTTTCACACAGTGATACCAATAAATATCCGGAACATTTCCGGAACGACTTTACCGGTAAACTAAAAAAAGGTGCTGTTCACAGAGGCAAGGACGTACATCGCAATTTTTCCAGAAAAGACCATTCACACATCTGTTCCAAAACACCCTTAAATTCTGACATCATTAACCTGAAATGAGATCTAAACGGCTTGTATTTGTAAACATAGAAGGGGTCAGGCTTTTGTTGATGGTTTCGCTTTTATTTGGAGCTTTAGCATTCATGCAGCTGCTTTGTCCCAGAGACTTCAGAAGTGCGAACTGCCGCTAAATGTTTACACATTTGACTACACTACAAATTTTGTAGATGGATAAGTATTGTGAACAATTTCGATGAAAACATACGGATAAACACTTTCGCATGTTGAGATGTACATAATCTGTGTGTTCACCGGCTCCTTCACATGCACATATGTCAAGCAACTGAAGCAGAGCTTGAAAGTAAACAAACAGCGGTTCATCGTAAACATTTTACCGGTATTTTCAAAAAGGGCCTGTTCACAAATGAATCCTTCACCAGCATTTGTGAAAGGGGCTAAAGTCTGACCATTTGCTTTCACGTTTGGAGTGTTTATGTCAGTTTGATGGTATGAGTCACAGTATTCTTAACCACACCCCTCTTTTCATTAGTTTGCTATGAGGGAATACTTCACAAAAGAAATCCCCTCCCCTATTCATAATTCCATTTCATTGGAAAGTACACCAACATACTGAATAGTCTCATCAATTTCTGGTTCATGCATACTTCAATGTGAATAATTGTATTGAGCATTACTCACACATTACAAATGAGCTGTCTCCGTTTTGCTTGCCTTGTTTACTTTTGGTTACTAGTTTACCAATACTACAGTTAGCTGCTCTAACTATTAGATGGAGGTGATTTGTTTCCCGAAACCAGCCACTTGCTTAGTTTGTAAAGAAAAAGTTTTGGGACTGCACAAGTACCTAGTTAAGCTTCTTTGTTGTTAGCTAATGAATAGAAAGCAGATTTTTTTTTCTTGTCAGTTGCTTCACATGTATTTGACTTTTATTTGAGTTAATAGTTTGCTTAAAGTGCTCGTGTGATAGCACTGACTCTAAGCAATATTGAAGTCACACCTCTGGTTCACGCAACAACTTAATTGAGTCACACACACGGAGAGGACCAGCTATGTCATAATACCCAGAGGCCTTGATTAATTAAGCCCTAAAAGCCCAGGAGCGCTCAACGTTCACCAGGTGCCTGTTCATCTGCCACTAGTTCCGCTTCTCACCCCATAAATATCCCGAGACATACATACAACTTTATCTGCTAAGAAAACCTGCAGGAGTTATTGGCATGAATTAAAAGCTTAGAGTAGGTGTCATCTTTGAAATCATTGGTGTTTTTTTCTTTTGTCAAAAATGTTCTTTCAGTTTAGTCAGTTAGTTAACTAAAACGTTTCCTCCTTGTTGTGAAACCTTCTGAACTAACTTTATAGTGAGTAAATTATTGCAGTACATATTTATTTAATTTGAGCTGTTTGTGCTTTAATTTCATTTGCTATTGTTAATGTAAATATTATAGTGTGACTAGCATTTAATTTAGGTCTTTTAGTCTTTTTTGTGATTTTGTTGTAATAATATGTTGTGTATACAGTATATATGAGTAATCTCATATATGTGTAGTATGCATCAGCGTGAGTTAATTAACCCACTATAGCAAAGCACTTCATTAAACCAGTGTTCATTTGATGTTCAGCTCCACTTCATGCATCTGCATATTTGTCATTAAGTGAAACTATATTCTTTTTAGAGTTTTCTTCAAGTACTTATTTTTTGGCCGTGGAATCATTTTCTTCTTGTCATGGTACACATTTTGGAGATTTTTTCATTGCCACAAATATGTGCATGTATATTTATTAAATAACAAGGTTGAGAATCTGTTAATTTTCCCAGTGATAATAAGAACAAAAATTGCAACCCGGCAGATTCTGAAAACGTACTCCTATATACATTTGTGGAGAATGGTAATTATGTAGCCAGAGGAACGTATAGCTGCATTTCGTCTTTAAAACGAATGCTACGGGGTGGGATGGCGCCATTCCTTTTCACACTTATCAGCTGACCGCTTACCTTTGTATGGACGGCTTTTTCGTTGTTATCAGTTTGTCCAGTGGCTTGCTGCGTATGTTGAAGGATTAGAGACACATATCGGAGTTGAATGTGACGACAAGGTTTGAAAACGGTTTAAGAAAGCAGGTAAGACTAAAATAAAAGCCATAAAATAAAACAAACAAGTAAATAACCGGGTGAGAATGTGGTAAAATATGAAAACGTGGTAAAAATAATGCTTCAAAAATCATTTTGAAAATACTGTTGGTTGGGTTTAGGGAAATGGCTGAGCACTGGTCAGTCTGTGATTTTTAAAACACTATCGGTTGGGTTTAGGGATGGGGGCGAGTGGGGGGATCGATCGTTTAGTCAGTCGGTTAGTCAGTCAGCCAGTGGACAGCGGCCTCTGACAGAATGACACAAAAACGCAGGGGCAAATGGCACTCGAGAGAGAAATTTGAGATTTAAAAAAGCATACACAGCTTCCTCTGGCTGATTCACCAAAACCAAAACTGCAAAAAAATAAATAAATAAATACATAGCTCCTTGGACGTATTTGCGCTCCTCAGAAATGTATATATTGGTATGTAAATATAGTGAGCCTGGGTTAAAAAAAAATGTATTTCAATAAAAAAAAAAATCTTCTTTGAATGTTAAGAGTTAAAGTATTCAAGAAAAAGACAGAGAATACTCAAATACAGTAGCAATACACTGAGCATTGTAAATACAACAATTAGTTTTTTTTATCTTTACAAACAAATAACCACAACATATTGTTTAAGATCTTTTTTTGGCTATGCAAACTTATGTGAGAATGCATGTTTATCAGTATATTGAATTTGTGCATTAGCTTTTACAATGAGTGTGGATGTTAATAAAGGAACAAAAGACAGAGAAAAGACAGAGTGAGCCATTTTTGTAATGTTAGAAAGGTCTGTTCTGTATTTCACACATAATTATAAACTGTTTATTTCATTTGATTTTATATTTGTGGTATTGCTAATTAGTTTATTTGTTCCAATTTTATTACAGCTTACTTGTCAGAATGTTTGCAATGTATATTAATTAGTCTAGCTGTTTTTGCTTTTTTATTTTGTACTACGAAAAGATCCATTCTGTGGCTCAAATATTGTAGTATGATCTAAACTGAGATCAAAACACTGCTGCGTGTAATTAAAAAAAAAAAAAAAGAAAATAAAGAATACACCAACAATAAAACCGAAGAAAGAAAATCTTTAGGGTAATCCAATAATAGTCTTGCATACACACACAGTATGCGATCTAAAGCTGAATAATGTATGAACAACGGTAAACTGAAGCGTTTCATTATACCCAGTGTTACGTCAGTGATATTGTTAATGAGATTAGCATGCCAGTAAAAAAAACAGCATACAAGGACATTATTTGATGGTATTTCTGTCCGCCTGGGCATCTCAATGGTCCGGCAGGTGTTGTACTCCTTAACTAGTCATTGAGGAGTCATCACCTAAACCAGTGCTTACAGCCTCCCAATTCCCTCTAATCCAAAACAAGCAGATTTAGCCAGCTCTCTAGACCGCTCTCCACAAAACAAACACACCGGCCCCCTGCAGACTGCACCGATGCCCTCCTCCCTCCCTTCGCACCCCCGCTGCTCGATGCTCGGTTAGCCAGGCTAAATGAATGGGGAGAGGCAGGTCTCCATGGGTAACGGCTGCCATGGAGGCACCTGGCAGGAGAGCGAGAAGGATGCTGCGCGAGCCAGCAGGCACACACAGATGAGCGGGGAGATTTGGGGGCCGCGCTCTGCCGTCTTTAACCCGCTCCCCTGCCGTTCGGAGGGT